CCCTTCCACTAATGCCCTTTTATATATACTTTTGGGGTATTCTCACACTCAAAATGATATTATATATTATTATCCTTGTACCAAATGCATATGTACTCCAACTGATATTGTTTTTCAAGAGAACTCATTTCTTTACTCCTACCTCCTCTATAAACTTGTTGATCTCTATTTGTGCTCCACAAAATCAATTTAATTAGAGGCAACAACAACCCCAAATTATAGATGTGATGTAACAATTTCAGCATGACATGTCATGACCTCAATCAAAGCTGCTCAAAGATTTTACATCTCACAAAATAGATAACGGTGATGCATCCAAAGCATCAAAATTACTTGAGAATATCCTCGATCCTTTTTGCATGTGTTCGTCCAACTTTTTCAAAATTATAACAATTAAAATACTAGAATATAATACTTAACCTCACCACCACAATCCTCACTCATGCCAAACCCCCTCAATCTTGTGCAAGTCCGATCCTCCCTTTCAAAAACTTGAGATCGCCCAAATCCTCTTCCCCATTCCCTCCCTCAAACTCACACCATCGAGCAAAGTCGTTGAGCTCCTCCTTCTGATTGCTCCTAACACCTTCAAATTTCATTTCTCAATTGCCACCTGACTAGCACACTCTCAGCAAAGATCAAGAGCCACAATCAAACTCCACCATCAATTTCAGTGCCAGCTTCCAACCCAATACATCACTTAACCTCTAGCACTCATCTATAAATCGTAGACATAACCATTTTCAACTCAAGCTTGATCTTAACAGCTCTTGCTTCAACAACCATCCACATCCTAACTTCAACCTCACGCTCCTCGACATTAACTCATCCCAATCACAATTGTTAACAACTTCTAAATTTCAAGAACCAAAGCTAGCCTCTATTTTACATATGTATATGCATGTGTAAATATATATATAAGAATAAAAAAAACAATGAGTTAGAAAGAAGAATATTGTGTATTTCATATCTTGTCTCAGTGTCATCTACAATAACAACTCAATGTTTCTAATACAACATTGAGCACAAAATACAATACTTTTTTTTTCTATTTTGTGCAAGAATACCAAGGCCTATGCATGTCCAACTTGTCAAAGTTTTGAGAAAAATAGGATGAATGTCAAAGTTTTGGGAAAAATAGGTTGAATTCTAAATAGGCTCGAGGCCTTTTTCCCTTTGCTTACATTTCATTAAATAATAATCTTACAATCTATTTTAGTTACAAAATAAAGAGCATACTCTATTTTAGGTAACTTAATAATACATAAACTTAATAATACATATTCTCTAATACATATTCTCAATCTAAATATTCAACTAAAAGAGAAATAAATCAGAATAAAGATATTGAAAATAATTTATATAAGAAAGCTCCTAATTATAGAAAACTTCTAATGTAGCTGTCTGATTTCCGTTCTTCCTAATTGACACCCCCCTCAAATTGATGCTGACTGATCAAGAAGCGTCAATTTGCCAATAAAAACTGATAACACTGTCGGAACCAACAATCATCAAGTCGTGAGTGTCGAAGCCGAAAGTCCCAAAACCGAGAATGTCGAAGTACCGCAGACAACTCCTGAACCATAACATGATTTGAGCAAAGAAAAGCAAGAACTTCTTTATCATTGTCGTCCAGAAATTCGAATCATAGCCACAAGAAGGATCCTCTTTCAGTTACACGATCCAAATGCTACCGATCATAGCTCACAAATAGGATCTAGTTACATGACCAAGATGCTATCAATCATAGCCTACAAGTAGGATCAGCGTCCTGATCCAGATGCTACCGATCATAGCCTACAAATAGGATACAGTTACACGATCTAGATGTTATCGATCATAGCCTACAAGTAGGATCCACGTCCTGATCCAGATGTTACTAATCATAGCCCACAAATAAGATCCAGTTACACGATCCAAATGCTATCAATCATAGCCTACAAATATGATCCGCGTCCTAATCCAAATGCCACGGATTCTCCCTGCGACTACGAGGACGATTTCTTCCCTGATCTTCAAACCAAAAGTCTTGAAGACGAGATGTCGAAGTCGTAGATCTAGGGTTTGCCGAAGACGACGAGGACGATCTAGGAAGGAGTTGAAGACTCGCAAGAAGTAGTCGGAGGAAGACTTGAGGGAAGCAGTTGAAGGCGAAAGAAGCAGTCTAAAATGCCGCAGAACACAGTCGACGAAACGGGTCATGAAGCATGGAAGAAGCAGTCGAAGATGCCGAGAGAAAAACATGGGAGTTCCTTGAAAATCTTTGTATGTAATGATCCCATCGTTGGTTTCCTAAGGGAGATAAGGGTGTCGGGCAGGCCTCGCACATAGGCAAAGCAAGGACGACAGAGGGATTCGGTGCACGCTACATTCCCGTCGCTGATTTGTGGAGAGATATGAAGGTGTCATACTCGCGAGGGCTAGGGCGGAATAGAGAAGGAGAAATCAAATCTCTGTAAGCCGACGATCCCATCGTTGCCTTCTTATATGCTCTAATCACCACTATATCGCTCCATAGAAGATGGTTTGGAGGAAAGAGGAGGCGCTAGAGTCATGCGAACCGACAAAGTAACAGGAGTTTCAGATCTCTTCATACGCTACGATTCCCTCGCTGCTTTCCTCACTACGCTCGAATTTGGGAGCTCTCGCATCCGTAGTATCACCTGATCACCGTGCTGTGAGAGTCGAACCAAACCCTGTGATCGGTTCCCCGTGCTGTGAAAGGGTCGAGACGACGAAGTGGTGCGGTTAGGGCAGAAGCAGGCGAACGAAGATGAAGGTAAAGAAATAGTTCCTCACTTCCCGCAAGAAGACCAAGGCAAAGAAATAGTTCCTCACTTCCCGCAAGAAGACCGGCGGGAAGGGAGGCGGCGAAGTGGTGCGGCTAGGGTAGAAGTAGATGAACGAAGATGAAGGGAAAAAAATAGTTCCTCCCTTCCCGCCGGGCAAACGAACAAAGATGAAGGGGATGAAGGGAAAGAAATAGTTCCTCCCTTCCCGCAAGAAGGCCGGCGGGAAGGGAGTCTTGATGGTCCTCCAATAACAACAGGTGGTTAGAGGAAAAATTTGTCTCTGATATTATGTCAAAGTTTTGAGAAAATAGCCTAAATTCTGAAAATAGACTTGATATCTTTTTCCTTTGCTTTCATTTCATTAAAAAATAATTTTACAATCTATTTTAGGTACAAAATAAAGTGCATATTCTATTTTAGGTAACTTAATAATATATATTCTCAATTTAAATATTCAAATAAAAGGCAAATAAATCAGAATAAAGATATTGGAAATAATTTAAATAAAGAAGCTCCTAATTATAGAAAACTCCTAATCTAGCTGCTTGATTTCAGTCCTTCCTGACTGACACAACTGTAAGATCATGTCTAGTTTAAACCATGAACAGAAATATGCTTCTTTCTTGAAGTAGATTAATTTAAAATTAAATTGTTTGTACTATATGACGAGGTGGACAATTAACCATTTAAGCAGCAAGAATCAATAAGCTAATTAATTCAAAGTAAAAATAATAGACCATTTTGCACGACCTTAATCAGATAATATAATCTTCCATAATCAAATTTTTACTAAAATTTCAAATTAAACTAATCTTATTATATGATTTGATAATCATACTTTGGATCAACCCAAATTTTTAATAAGCAGCCTAATTAGAGTTTGTTTCATTAGTACTTGAAATAAATATCATCTTAAGAACTCTAAAACATGATTTTGCTATTAGCAACGAAGAAAAAGATTAAAAAAATATTTTAAGTGAGATTTGAATTTTAAACTTTAAAAAGAGATTCTTGTTTTTTTGGATTAAACGCGTCAATATTATTCCTTAAAAAATCTTTCCTTGATCGATTGTGTTGCGAATCTTAGTTTGTTGGAAAACTTTGTGGAAGCATTTGTAATGGATCCTTTGTGACTTGTAGAGTTTAATCGTTCTGTACTAACTAGTCGGCGGGCTAGAGTAATGCCTTTCACTTGGAGTAGAAGAGGGTGTAGGGTTTCTCCATTGTCCATCAAAGAAGGAGGCTTTTTCACCTTGTAATGAGCTAAAAGAGTACAAAGTGGAAATCTCGAGTAAAAGACTCGATGAGTAAGTGTGAGCCAACTGGCCAAACCACTACAAAAATATATTCACACCATTTTTATGTTACTTTTTTTTTTACATAGCATCAATACTCTTGCAACTTTTCATCATTTGACTATGCTTCATATATAGTCATATTATTGATAAACAATTATCTTACTTTGTTCTTTAGGTTATTCAATTTGTTGCAATTGCATTAGCAAATTTTAAAATCTTGCCTATTGCAATGATGACTGATTTTTATTTCTAAAATATCTCACCTCTTAGATTAAAAAAAATGTAAAATTTCTCGCATTGCAATTTCAAAAACTGCGAAATGAATATATTCGTGATAGGGTTGGTGTAGCTCCTGTGACGGACAAAATTAGAGAAAGTCGTCTTAGATGGTTTGGTCACATTAAACGTCGACCATCTGATGATCTGATTAGGAGAGTAGATGTTTTAGATTCGACTTGTGTTAAGAAAGACAGAGGTAGACCTAGGAAGACTTGGGCTTATTGTATTAAAAATGATCTTAACTTACTAGAACTAAATGAAAATATGACACTAAATAGGACGCAATGGCGAAAAAGGATTCATGTAGCCGACCCCATGTAGTGGGATTTAAGGCTTTGTTGTTGTTGTTGTTGTTGTTGTTGCAATATCAAAAACTGTTTCTTTGTTTTAAAGCAACAAACGAAAATTTATTTTTAACATGCTCACTTCCTAGTAAATAAAAAAAAAAATAAAATAATTTTAAAAACAACACATACACACACCAATCAAATTTGATTGGTGCTCAAACTTGTTAGGTTAGAATTTACAAGGAACAAAAAGTAAGATGCAAGCGTTCCTCAAAAATAGGAAAGCCTGATTTCTAGATTTAACTGGTAACATTCTAACTCATTTGAACCATGTGGTGGCATACCTTCAGATTTAGAAGAGCCAATCCAATTAGGTGCCGTTGAGTAAAATATTGATCCTTCGCGGTCAAGTTGAAGCACCCACCTGCAGAAAAGATGCCCGCTAAAGAATAAACAACAAACTAATTGACATGTTTGCTGCAAAGCATGCATGAGTGCAAGTACCACGTCACTACAGCATGAACTTTTCCATCATCTGTTGGCTTTATCCACATTTCAGTTTCTCCATGACTATCTGGGCGTCTCCAAAAATCAAATACAAAAATTTTGAAAGGTTCTGACAGCTGATATTTCAACATTAGAAAATAATCATTTTTTCCTTTCTATTATCGGTAATGTTCGAGATCAAGTATGTTATACCAGACGTATCTCATTGCAGAGTGAATTAAAATGCATAGCATACTGCTGCAGTTTTACATGTACTATCTTCTCTAACCCAGCAGGAGAAAGATAGATTCCATCTGATGCTCTAACTTCATTGCCATGCAAGTCATTTAGCTTCCACAAGAAAGTACTTTCAACTAGCTGGACATCACAAACATAGATGCAACATAAGCAGCTCTTTCAATAACCAGTGAAAGTAAAATTAATTGCAATTTTTAATTTCGGATATGCAAAATGTTAGAAAACAAGGCTTCCAGGAGGAGACAAATAATGGAATGACATTCACCGGTTTCTGGCAATGAGTGTAGATTGTTTGTACAGAGCGTGGTTGTTGCAAACTGTTGAGACACAAATGTCATAAATTAAACTATTATCTTCATACACAAAGTGCTGTTTGGAGTATTTTTATGTTATGAAGATTTCATAAATACCACTAAATTCTTTTGTATTTACATATCTAAAACCTAAACTTCAATTTTTACATACATGCCACACTCCCAATGCATGAAAATGCATATTTCACTTTTTAAAAATTAAAATGGGGGTATTTTTGATGTGATATGAAAGATTTGGGTGGTATACATGTAATAATTAAAGTTTAAGTGTAGATATGTAAACACAAAAGAAATGGATGGTATGCACGAAACAGCTCACCTTTATGTTAAATTAAAAAAAAAACTACCAAAAGAGATCTGCATGGCTATTTGCCTAGTGGATAGTATAGGTCATCAAAATCAGCAATAGTCCATAACAAGGACTGATTATTTGCTAGTAAATACCAACATAGAGCACTGGACAATTCCATGAGCTATTATCGATGTGTGGCCTTCTCACTAGAAATTCCCTCGGCATAATTGTATTGATAGCTCTGCTAATCAATATTTTACAAGGCTTTTACACAAATATTTACAAGAAGAGGCTCCCTGCCCGACAACAGCTACATTCCTACAATTCTAAAAGTATTATCTATCCATAAACACAAAATAGGCTATAGTGATATGGGAGCATCCATGGGATTGTGGATCCCCTGTGAATGAGGAGTTCCATGTGATCACAGAATATCCCGAGATTGTGGGTGCCAACCACTAGGCCCACTCGTTTACTTAGTACAACCACAATATTATTTCCTTTCTATGTTTCTCACCTACTTCTCTATTTCTAATTAGGTTATTTTCTATTAGGAAACTTTTATATATGTTATATGCTGGTTGATTTGGGACTTTAGCTTTATGTTGATGTTTAGGAGAATATATTCTCCGCTATCCTCTTTCTTTTGCAAGGGGCGTGTCTGTATCTTGTGCATGAACAGTTGGTGAATCTTTTCACCTTATGAATGTTGTCGTTTTGTGGTTCTCTACACTATTTTCAATCAGGACAGCAGCCAACAACTCCCATTCCCATAAAAACTCCATCTACCTCGCATAATATCATTCCCTTACTATTCTACAGCCCCCACCCCGCTAAATCCACTTCATACACACCTTCTAGGAACCTTAGAACGCTATAGTCAAGTAAATTATGATTTAACAGAATAAGAAAGCACATAATAAAAATAGGGTATTCTAAAAATTTCAATAACAACTAAATTCAAGTGCATAGTGGGTTGAACATGTTTCAAACATAAATCCCAACATGATAATTTGATACTACATAAACTTCTTTAATATAATACACTAAAAAATACAGTGAAGACCAAAAAGAGGGCTAAAATACTTGAGCTCTCATCCATTTTTTAATAAAAAGTACTAATTTTACTGATTCTTTTATTAAAATGCATATATGGAAAAATAAAGAAATATGCTTTAAATTGACGCCCTATCTGCACATTATAAATTTTCGTCAGCTTATCGCACTTTTGTTCTCAAAAGGTGGGGATGTGTATGCAATCTGACAGTGTCATTACTTTAAAAAAATGTTTCCTACTAGACAGTTATACCCATAACAAGCACAGAAGATGATCTGAAGCGCCAGTAGTTGACAGAGTCCTAGCATTTGTCAAGGACATTTAAAGTAATGCTTATAATTGGTAATTAATACTTATGTGTTATAATTGGTTGTAAATTAGTTAAATTGGTAATTGGTAAATATAATTACTTATGTGTTATAAAGCACTAATCCATTGAAAATACCATACGAAATCTTATGATAAATTCAAAAGAAAAGCAACAAAACCTGGCCATAAGTGGTGGCGCGATATGGAACAGTTTTTGCATTAGTAGTCAGCAGCATATCATGTGCATGTTGTAGTGTTGATATCAATCCTTCACCTAGCAACTCAGAGTCCAGAATTTCACTAACCTGCAGGTTCAGAAAGAAAGAAAAAATCATATAACCATGAAACTAAAATATTATGCAGGCTTATTTAAATTTTGATTTAACAAATAATTTTTTGCTCACATTGCTCTATTATGGTAATCATCAATATCATTATTAGCCATATCCGACTATTGTGCCTTAGTTTCTGATTTGTCATTTCTCATTTGTTCTTAGAGTGTTGTATGAAGTATCAAATTTAATCAACATAAATCCATTTCAACAAATTTTAATTTTTAATCAAAGGTTTGCTCTTTCTTACTTTATAATCTTTAGAAACTAACTTTATATAACCATCTACCAGTGCATTTTCTATTATTCATTTTACATTTCAAAATCATCAACCATTTGTTTATCTATCAAAAAAATATGAAAAAAAAAACGCTTCGTATTATTATTGCACAAACGGCAGTCAAGTAAAACAGGTTATAACCTAAATTTTGAGTCTGGAATAAGAAGAATAAAATTAGGTCATAATTAGCCCAACAAAAAGGGAAAAATAAAAAAGAAATTGTATATAATAAAGTGGGTAAGGGAGGATCTATAGTGGGGCACTGGGGGCTCCTGCCCCCCCTGGCTCGGCCCACTTAAAATATTTAAGCTTACATCTATTTTATAAGCTCAAAGCCCTACTTACCGCTTCATTAAACTCTTGTCGCATCTTTTTATCTACCCAAATTGTAGCTGCAGTCAGACAAGGCATCCCCAAATCTCCTTCAAAAACCTCCACGCTGGGGCAATGAGACGTCATCCACTGTAAGTAGTCTTCCAAAATAAATAGATGGTAGCTTCTTATTCTACTATTTATCTCTCCATTTCTTCTAAGATTTTTACTCATCAACAATTTCATGAGCTTGGAATAGAAATGTCAAGTTTTTTCATGATTCCTGAATGAATTTTGACAGTATGTTGATTGGTTTATCCAGTCCCTTGATGGTTTTAATTTCCTTTTTTTTCTTTTGTTTTCAGTACAGTGGCTCACTCTCTCTCTCAAATCAAGTACTAAAGGAAGCCAAGTAGATAACTACTTAATAAAGTAAAAATAGAGGAGATAATGAAATTTCTTGAGAATTAAAAAAAAAACAATTCTCAGTTCAAACCAAAGAAAAGCTTCCTTGATACCAATGCATACCACAACATCATCGCATCATCCATGAAATATGAATTTCAGCCCTGGTCGTTTATTAAACTATTGCAAATAAACAAGTGACAATTTAATTAAAGGATTCCCAACAAGAAAATGATTTCTTCCTCCCAACCATCTAATTATACTAAGGCATCTTATTTTGTTTAGATCTAAATATTTTCAGTTTTTTTAGACTTACTAGTTACTAGTTGAATCTTTTTATTATAATCTTAATAGCACTTTTAAAAAAAATTATCCTAGGTTAAATTTTAAATACATTATGTTTAATTTATTTAATACCAAATGTAGCTAAAATATGGAGACATTTTAAAAGAAAAATTTACACTAGTAAACGACAAATATCAAGCACAATCAACATTGTTAAATTTAATACAAATTTTAAATGAAATTATTTAAAAGTCAACCTAGAAGACATGCGAGCACATCCAGGAATTCAGATTACCATTCAAATTTGTAGAGCTTACTTACAAAAAGATTCTTGCCAACCTCATGAACATAATTTCCTGAAAACTTGATTAGTTTGATGAATTCAAAGTTAGTTGGAATGTAGTATTGAAAAAAAATATGTTTATTGCTTATTTTGTTATCTTTATAGACCAGATATAGGAGCTCAAGGTGGTGGTGATAGTTTTGACAATAAAAGATTTTAAAATTGGAAAAATAAGAATAGGTTTCTAATTCATATTGGCCACTTCAATAATGCTCATAATGTTGCCTAGTAAAAATGCAATGACCTAATGAATCAATATCAACATATCAATTTTGCTTTCACAAAATCTTCTGATCAAATAAATCATGATTATCAAACATGTTTGACAGCAAGCTAGATTGTGCACGTTTTCTAGTAGACTAACGTTTAGGTTTTTGTAAATCAAGAAAACTTTTTGAAATTGCATTTTCTAACAGACCATAATGAAGATGTAAAAAAATTGCTTTAGGAAATGCTCCAAAAAAATGACAAAATTGTTTCTCCTAAAATTCAAAAAAAATTACACATGTCATTGTTGTTGAGACCATAAATGTTATTATTGTTTTTTTTTTAAAGATGAACTTCTATATTTGCAGTCCACAACATGTTGATATATGCTATTCGAGGCGAGCCTAAAACTCAGAACGCCAGGGGACTTACAACATTGCTGCCAACTGAAGTGCCAACCAGTTATTATTAATAAATTAGGAGATGATTTATTCACTATTCTATTGGATGAGTCTCGAGATGTGTCAGCCAAAGAACAAGTACCAGTTTCAATTCATTTTAATAAAAGAGATGTTACTGAATGATTTTTTGGATTAATACATGTCAATGAGACTTCTGCTCCAACTCTTAAAAAAAACAATAGAAGCTCTTTTTGCAAAATATGGGTTAAGTATTGCACGATTACTTGGTCAAGGTTATTATGGGGCGAGAAATATACCCGGTGAGTTTAATGGATTGAAGACTTTAATTATGAAAGATAATTGTTCAGCTCATTACATACATTATTTTGCACATCAACTTCAATCGGTCTTGGCTGTTGAGGCTAAAAATCATGTTCATGTTACTTCTCTTTTCAATATAATTACCAATTTAAATAATCTTGTTGGGAACTCATGTAAATGAAGATATATTTTAAAAGAGAAACCAGTCAATATACTTATTCAACAGTTACAAAATAGAGAATTGACAATAGGTAGATGGCTAAATCAAGAAATTTCACTTCAACGGGCTCGAGATACACGTTAGGGGTCACACTATGGAACACTCACTAATCTACTTTTGTTATTTGAATCTATTGATGAGGTTCTTGATATAATAATTCAAGAAGGTTCAAGTAGTGAGCAAAGAACTGAAGAATATGCATTGTTAGATTCTATACAGTATTTTGATTTTATTTTTTATTGCATTTAATGAAAATTATATTGGGCGTCACAAATTAACTTTCTCAAGTATTACAGAAGAAAGACCAAGATATTATAGATGTCATGAAAGCTTCAAAACAAAGACTTCAAATAATGAGAGATGATGCATGGACATTTTTAATTGAAGTAAACGCATTCTGTTTAAAAAATAATATAGTTATTCCTAATAAGATTATGCTCAGAGAATTACAAATTTACAACATTATCAAGTAGAGTTATTTAACTCTGTGATAGATATGCAATTTCCAGAGTTTAATGAGAGATTCAATGAAATAAATATTGAATTGCTTCTATGTATAAAATGTTGAATCCATGTGATGCATTTTCAGCTTTTGATAAGAAACGATTGAAATGTCTTGTAAGACTTTGTCCTTCTGATTTCACAAATATTGATCTTCTCATATTAGATGGTCAGCTTGAAAATTTTATATGATATGAGATCTAGTGATTCATTTTTGAAGTTAAAAGGAATTGGAGAACTTGCAAAAAAATTCATGGAAACTAAAAAATGATGATGTTTATGCAATGGTATACTTACCAATGAAGCTTGAATTGATATTACCAATTGCAACAGCAACAGTTGAACGAGCTTTCTCAGCTATAAATATTGTAAAGAAACGTTTGAATAATCGTATGTGCAAGCTTGGGTGCATAATTAGCTGATTACATATTTTGAAAATGAAATTTAAATGTGTTCATAAATAACTGATTATACAATAATTTCAGCATATGAAAACTCGAAGGTAGAAATTATAGGTGATTGTCTTTTTTTTCTAGTTTTTATGTTAGTATCTATTTATCAATTTTTGAATGTTTTTGTAATTTTTTCCAGCATATTTTATCATTTATATATTATTATTCTAAAAAATAATTAAAACCGCCAATGTAGGTCCAAAGCCCGGATGGAAAATGTTGAGAGTTGTTTTCTGAAATGAGTAATTTGTGCACCCACTTAAAATAAATCTTGGCTCTGCACCTGAAAGTGGGTATTAATGTAGCAATTAAACTCATGCCTAAAGGCAATCCTAATAAGAATAAAAAATTACTTGAGAGCATTCATTTTGCAGATAGGCAAGCATTTCTTAAAAATCAAACCATGGATTTTTAGTAAAACATTATGCTACAAATCTTGCTTCATATCAGTCAATAGTTCCATTAGTTTTGTGTTTCATGTTGAGCAACCATTTGAATTAAACATATTTGTTTCCCTTTGAGAAGATTTTAAACATTCCACATACCATTTATTTTAAGGGTCCAAGTTTCTTTATGAACTAAAATTTTTAAGGCTTCTTGAATATTATTTGGAATTTTTATGGTGGAAAGACTTTTTGTAAGGGTGACACTTTGGAGATAGTTTGTGATGCAAAATATAATGATTAATTGAATGATTGAAGCAACATCTCAAACTTTCTCTGAGAGCATAAAGAGGTATAAATTATCTTCATAATCAATATTACCATATTCAAATAAAATTAGAGATGTCAGTTGAGGCCAATAAGGTAAGACTATTATTATCACAAAATTCATATTCACAAAAAGGGTTAATGTTCTCTGCTTGGATGTACGATTTAGGTAAAGAATATAACATTTAAAGAGGGATACATTCATAATGGTCTAATATTTTTTTAGTATGGGGACAATAACACCTATCCTTGGTGGTGAGGAAAGTAACTACAAAGGGTATATTTGGGATATTGGAGCAGTGGCAGTGCAGCGTCGCACCGCACTTTGTGGCATTTGAAAAAAAAAAATTGCATGCTTTTTCAAAAAAATTCAGTAAAAAACTGCATTTTACAATCTGACCTGGTTAAGCATGATCGTTGTGAGAACTTGTGGTCTGACTTTTTGAAAATTAAAAGAAAATTTAAATAGTCACCGTAGTTTTTTAAATAGCAATTTCTTTTAAACAGACCTTAAAAATAAATTTTATACCTTTTGG